ATTTAAGAAAAGAGGTATTCAGAGCTAGCCACCATTGCTGCAGCAGAAAGAAGCAGAGTACTCACTCAGAGTTGGGATTATCAAATTATCAAGATTATCATCGATGGAGTCGAAATGACCCAGTGGGCTAACCCTCATATTCAGAGCTGGTGATCATCATGTTAGTGCTCAAATATGGATGCTGATAAGATGCTGATAAGAGGTGACTGCCCATTTCATTAAATGTTCCCATTTGGCCCATTTAATGTTGGCAGCTTGGAGGCTTGGAGGTTTTTGACATTTCATTGGTAAAATCCACAACATGGGAGCACCGCTCAAGAGGATTCACAAATGTCCAGACTTAAGTCAGGAGAAGAATACGCTTGCCCTTCTCAAAAATTGGGGCAACAAAACCCAACATCTTCCTCCCACACTAGAGCCTAATGGTATCTACCCAAAGTCTACAACCAAGACTGGCCTCACAAGGTCAGTGGTACTATGTAGCATGTAGTTTTTGCTACCCTGCTTTAAGCTCCAGGCGAACCATGCTACCAGTCCCTGCCCAGAGAATATTGGATCCCGAGGATGAAAAACAGACACACACACGTTGCTAAATTTCAACCTGCCTTATTGGCTCAGTTGCTGGGATCTTCTAAGCCATCCTTGGCTACCATGCTCTTCCCAATACTCAGAGCTCAGCATCCTAAATCTGCCCTCAGCTTTAGTTGCTACCCTAGACCCAGTCAGGGAGTGGCCAATGGCCACTCCATATTAGATCTCACATGGCTGGTGGCCTTTCCTCCCTATGAGGCATGGTGAATTCTTCCTCCTCTGCATCTCTTCACCTCTTCCTACAAGGACCTGGAAGTCCTGCCTCTTTCCTTCCACCCAACAATTGGCCCTGGCATCTTTACTGATAGATCAAGAACCAATTGGGAAACAAGACCTTAGCATCAGAACCACCTTCTACAGTAGTAACGTCATATGACCTTCCAGAAACCTCTATAGGTGCCAGTACCAAAGGGTGGACATACCGTGAGACAGAAGTCACCACAAAACTCACCATATTCCAGATGCCTTGTCAGATAAAGACTGATTCTCAGTCTTTTAAAGTATGATGAGTCTATCATATATGCCAGAGAACTGAAAAGCAACAAAAAGTTCACAAATACTTTCAAATGAAACTCCATTTTACAAGCAATTTGGGCATGCATTACATAACTACAGACAATGCCTGGTGAACACATGATACAACTGAACCCTTTCCTGCAACTCCCAGCCTGGCAGAGGACATTAAGACTTTCATTTGGGTCTTAGTTGTGTTTTATGACAATGTTCATATGTACGGAATATACTAATGATCATTGGTTTAGTTCATTCTCATAAAGCTATCTTAATCACATCCACATGTAAGAGGACTCAAAATGATAACCTTTTTACTTTTTGTCCAGTTCCTATGCCATCTGGAGGCAACTATGATCTCTGACTAGAGCATGACTGCCCATTCTATGTATGTGAGGGTAAGCAAGGCACTTATTTGTTTATCAGCTGCCTGTGCTACATGCAGCCAACCCCACACTGGATGCTGAGGTAGAAGCTGCTGATGAAGAAATTAGCCCTACCTACCTCTGTTCCCCCTCTCAAAAAGCTCCAGTCACTAGGTAGCTGAGATGGGTAAGGCAAGGGTCAGAAAACACACATTCTCAGATAATAACAGAAGGATAGTCTAATTTTTGACAGAAATGCAGAAACTTCGGTGAAACCTGAGAGAAGTATGAGTTTTCCTGGAGAGACACAAATACCTATTCACCCAAGATAAGACACTAGAGCAACAGGCCAAAGAATGATTCCACCAAAGTCTACTTTAGGGCACAAGAGAGTTTATTGAGGTTACTTACAGAAACATGGAAGATTCACAGGTACTTGCATTAGAAAAACAAAACAAACAAAAAACAAACAAAAAAACAAACATGCAAAACAAAACACTACGCCCCCAAGAGGTCAATGAATGCAGCTTGGTAGATTACAGAGTTTTCCTCCATAACAATCATTACTGGTTATGTAACCTCAGGGGAGTCCTTATTAAAGTTATAAGATTTAGGAACTTCCTAAGTCTTGTAAGTTTCATGTATTTACTGAGTTGTAGCAAGCTTCCCACCAGAGAGAATTTTCAATATGGAGGGGATTGTTACACAACAAAGATTATGGAAGCTTTGAATAAATGACCTTCCCCAGCCTGTTAAAATAGAAAACAAGAATGAATCCTCTTAAGTAGTCAGAACACTTGAAGCTACGGCCCAAAGCAATGGAAAACACATAGATACAAAAATGGCAAGTAGTTCAACATGACAAAGTGTTGGTAGAGCAGAAAAACAATCATCTGGCCAAGTGAATGTATACCATGTCTTCTAGGGCCCATGCTTACTTTTCTCACTGGTGACAAGGGTTCCAGACCAGAGATAGCCCACTTCCTGGCCTCTAGTAAAAGAAAAGTATCTCTTAGGACTGTTGTTGACTCCCATATGTTAATGGGATATGCTCCCAAGTCCCTACTCCATGAGTAGATTTTTTTTCAGCTGCTTCTTGCAACACTAAATACCCCAGTTTTCTTCAGGGAACTCTAGCTTTGCAGGATGGAACTGCCCTGTTGTCCCACTGGCTCAAATGTTCCTGGTGAAAAGACTAACTCAGTTGTCTATTACTAAGGCAACATTTGACCATCCCACCCCATGCAAGCAGCAATCTGGTATGCAGATGCCCTTATCCTAGACAATGTATGACAACCGCAAGGAAACATGACATTAGGACATGTGCTCTTTCTTCTACTCTGCACAATCCCCTGGTTGTGCAGAAGATACAAAGACCAATTGCCTCAGAGTCAGATAGACAAATCAGTTGGTAAAACATTTGCTGTGCAAACATAAAGCTCTGAGTTTTATCTCCAGAGCTCACAGGAAAACAAAGAAAATTAAAACAAAAACAAACAAACAACAAAAACAGGCATTATATTTGTTTGTAATCCTAGCACTAGGAAAGTGGGAAGAGGGGGGATCTCTGGGGCTCATCGGCAAACAGCCTAGTCCAGGTGATGAACTACAAGCCAGGGGAAAACCTGTCTGAAAAATAATAAGGTGGACGGCACCCAGAAATGACACTCAACATCAACCTCTGGCCTATATATGCTCACATATACCTGAGCACGTATATATACAGACAAACACACACACATACACACAACATGAAATCAATGCTCCAGACCACTACTTCCTCATCTTAGCTACCATTTTTTGCTTATATAAGGCTTCGAGAAGAGAGGCTGGGGTGATAACTGGCCACCTTACATCCTTAACTTCACAGCTCACAATGGTTAAAACTCCTGAGTGAGCTTGTGGCTGGAAACACACCCTCCTGCTCCCCAAAGTACTGCTGCTCATTAAGAAACCTGGGTCCCCTACTTGGAGATTCTACACTAACTATGGCACATCAACTCTGCTTGAGTACTGCCAACACATGGGACTCATGCCTTTGTAGGTCAGTCATTTCAGTTTTATCTTGAAGTTAATTCAGTAACACCTTTTAGTATGTAGAAAGTGGTCTTCTAAAGACATGTTTAATGGTTGTCACTTTTGTTTAGGACATTCTTGTTGGCACCACTCTGAACGGTTTCATTGTTCACGTTTACTGTCTTATTAATCTTCAAACCTGAGTTTATTGAGGTTGGGAGTAAATATTTGAGTATTTAATACTCGTCTTTGATACATGACTTTTTACATCAGTTTTTTCCTTTCTATCTGCTTTAGTAGTTGTCTTTATTTCTACTTCTTTGTGATTCTAAAGTCTTCATTCTGCTTCTCACATTCCTTGACTAGTTAAGCTTTTTCACGCTCCCATATTTGAGTGCTCAAGTTCTGCATTTGCCTTGGATGTTGTTTTTAACCCTTTCCTGCTGTCTATTTACATTTTGTCTGGTTTTAGTTTTCAGTGTATCCTTATGAGCCCTTTCATATACATTTCCTCTTAGTGTCTTAGAACTTTGCCCCCATTTTATGTTTCTAAATGTTTGGATTATGTTTCTGAAACATTTCAATTTTTCTCTCTGGTTTTAACTTTAATTTGTAGTTTATCCTCTGTTCTCTGTTATCTTATAAATAGCAACAGGAGCCTGAGAGAGGAAGAACTTGCCCAGGTTCTTGCCTAAGAGCTCTGAGTAAGAAGCCATCTCTATCATTACCACCACACCACAGGGTGGGGGTGGAGGGGCAGAGCACCCTGTTCTATGAAACAAGAGAACCTCCACAATAGCTCACTGAAGACCAGTCCATCAGAGTCAATGTTACAGATGTCAGTGACAGCACCCGGGGCAGCTTGTTCCTTGGCCTTTGTCTAAGAGTGTGTGTAAAAATAAAACAAAAGAGAGGAGCACAGAGAAAGGGACACACAGAGAGACTGACAGAAGGACAGACTTCTGAAGTCAGGACAGTGAGAGCCTGTCAGGGGCTGAAGTTGGGGAATCACCTTCTGCCTACCTGTTTCCAGTTCCTAACACAGGGGTCAGACCATCCTGCCTACATCTGGATAAGGTCTGTGTGAACCTGCTCAGGTGTTGTTCTTACAATGTACAATAGGTCACAAGAGAAAAGATGGAAGAGTAGGTATATAAAATAATTATTAAATTATATTATATATCTACATATCTAAAAAGAAATCTGTGTGTTCCTGTGTATGAGTGTTAAAATTTTGTGGGTGCATATATATGTATGTGTGTGTGAATGTGTCTGTATGTTAGTGTATATGTGTGAGGATGTATGTATGTGTCTGTGTGCATATGAGTGTGTATGTATGTGTGCGTATACATGTTATTCTCTGTGCTGTTCTAAGTAATAAGAGCAAATATTTCCCTGTCTTCTTACATACACTTTTTAAACAACAAGTCACAGCCAGGCAGGGGTGGAGCACACTTTTAATCCCAGCACTAGGGAGGGAAAGGCAGGTGACTCTTTGTGAGTTCAAGGCCACCCTGATCTACATAATGAGTTCCATAACAGTCAGGACTACATAGAAAGACCCTGTCTCAGAAAAACAAAAACAAAAGCAAGCAAACAAACAAAACCTCCAACTCCCTTTGTTTGGTGCACACTCCGTCTGGCGCCATAGGAGTCTGCTTTACCTTTCAAGCTTTAAGGGGGTTTGTTTGTTTGTTTCTCTTTTTTCTTTTCTTTCTTTTTATATAACTCTACTTCAATAAAAAGGAACAAAAAAGAAAAAGTTCAAGCCTCAGATTCCATTTTGTTTTCCCTTGCAGGAACTTTCACTGCAAACCCAGCTTCTCCCGCTCTTTCTTCTGTCTGCCATCCACTGCAGCAGCAATCTTTGTGAACATTCACAGTGGCAGCAGACAAAGCTTTGCCTCGAATCAGCCGCTGAGATGCTGCTTCCTTCCCTTACTCAATAGACATTTGAAATATCAGTCTTCCAGGCTCTCACATTATCTTGGGTGGAGCTGACTCAGCTCAGCAAGCTAAAGGATTAAAATGCTAAGCAGGCTGTCCTCTGGCAAGAAATCTGAAAAACTGGTGGGCGAGTCGGGTTGGTGAGTCTGTAATAAGAACAGGAGGGTTAGAAGGGGACTCTTGCCAGGGTTATCATCACTAGAGATGAACTAGATGAGAATCTGTCACTCAGGACACTAACCCCAGTGGGGCACTTGAGACTCTGTGCTTTTGAGAATGGAGCATCAACAGGAGACACAGCCTTATCCATGCATACCCTCACAGCATCAAAGTTCCCTCGCTCCTGGGAACTTAGTGCCTCACCTCTCAGAACCCACCCTAGTGAGCCCAGTAGCCCAAGTGAGCCCAGTAGCCCAAGTGGCCCAGAGGCTATAACAGGAGAAGAATGTAGGCTTGGTGCAAGACCACCCAGGCCTGTACTCCTTCCACTTCTTCTGATTCTTCCTAGACACCCAGCTCTACGGCAAAACATGGAACAATTTGTCCCTGTCAGTGGCAAAACAAAGGCAATGTTCTTAATGTGTTGGATGGATCCTTGCAGACAGCTCAGAGAGAAAGAAACATGTGCCCTGCTTTGATTACAGAAAGACTCTCCTAAGGAGAGTTTTAAAAGACAGAAAGAAGCAAGGGGAAAGACAGTGTAGTCACAGGCTAGACTGCAAACTGTGTGAAGAGAGGATAGCTCATATGGTTCCACTCTGGTGCAGTCCTGAACATCCAGAGCAGCTCATAGTACTGCTCTGAGGACCACGAAGCTACATCATTGAATGCAGTGACCTTGGACTCTGATTCAAGCCTTGCTTTGGATCTCTGAACAGCCAAAATGCTACCTTCCCACCCCAAATACCTCATAGTGCTTGACCAAATCCACTCGCCCTGCTCCAAGGCAGGAGGTGACTTCAAATTGGGAAGAAAGGGAACATATCATTTGGGCTTATCATGCTAATCTTATCCCTGACTCTCAGGGTACCTCAAGAGTTGCATTCAGTGTTTACACAAGCATTTACGGCTTTCCGGGGAGGACAAGGCTGATGAAGTTGGTCATTTTTCAGAGATCCATGAGACAAAGGAGCCCTTGGGTCAACAACTTGTCCACATGGGGTTGCACCATCTGTTTGTTTCCGGACATTCCTGGAACTCCTGTCTCATAAACAGCTGACATTCGACTCCTCTGGCCCTGACACTGCTCCTTTCACTGGTGACCTGTTGATCAATAACACCGAGCCATTGTTTGTTAACCCTCAACAAGGACCTCATGATCTTCGCTCCCATTTTTTATGTCCACCTCATCAGCTTCCCTCAGCAGCCTGCAAATGAACTGCAAATACTTTTCAAGGCAATGGCAGAAAATAGCTCAAAGGGTATCTGAAAATGATTAACCCAAGGACATTAACGAGATACCAACTCATAAGGGAAAGATGTCCTGCAGAGTATCGTGTCCATTTAGGTACATCCAATTGGAAAAATTGGTTAGGAACAGAGCATTTTAATTGACTTCATTTAAACCAGGATGATTCAAGGATTATAAACAAAAATTTTCTGTGTGCAGCACTAGCATTCAATTTAGATTAAATTGCCTGGTGATTAATTAATTTAGGACAGCGCTCACTGAGAAAATTGCCATCAATACATATCTGTCAAACCAATTTTCCACAGACTGTCGCACCTCTGGGGTATGAACAGTACAAATCTGGGGGACACTCATTCAGTAAGTGGCTCCTTGCTCTTCCAATTAAAAATTCCATGATGGCCAAATATCACAAACTGTAGATGGAAAAACAGAGCACTGTTTCTCTAGCTAGCCATCTCAGAGGTCCCCAGGAATCCATGATAGCTGTTGGAGAGGGTGTTTTGTTGAGAAGAGAGAGTTACAGAAACTGAGAGCATAGAAATATTAACAGCCAACACCAGCAAGTGATCACATTGTGTTCAGATAACGTTTTGTTCTGCTTTGTTCTGAGCACCACAGCCAAACTAGGCTATTTTGTTCTACAGCAATCCCACAAAGCTGACGCACTTCTCATCTTGCAGAAGACAATAATGAAAGCCCGTCTGGCTTGTCTTACAAATGGTATCTTAAAAAATGAAGCAAGACTTGCCCACACACAAGGATTCAACCCTTGCAGATAAAGGACAAAGCCAGGCCTCTCCTTCCCTGCCCCAATACCCCGTGTAGTGCTCCAAAGTTGAATGTGAATTCTCTTTCTTAGATACCTTGGGTTCTGAAGAAGCATTCTACAGGGGTTAACTTCCCTTCTTTCCAAAGCCATATTTAGCACATTCAAGGGATACCAGGGGATCATCTGACATGGCTAGGGTGGTAAGGCATCTGGTTTTCCCTTGTGCTGGATCTTAGATATGTGGAACCCTGAAGTGTTGAGCAAAGGTGTCCAGCCAGGTACTTGAGCATGCATGGAGGCACTGTGTAAAATTTGTCTGTAGATTTCTGTGCCATACTGAAGGAAACAAATTCAAAGGGGAGGGTAGACAGGAACAACAATAACCAAATTGAAAGCACAAAAGTAACTTTAAAGATGTTTGTGCCCAGGTAGAGGCAGGGACGTCTGTAGCTCATCACAGGATTTATAAATCTTTCCAAAAGAGAATAGCTTCATATGTTTATATTTAGCTTGAAAGTCAAATAAAACACATATTTTTTGAAATGAAAGAATAGATGGAAAGTACAGATAGGTCCGACAATGGTACACACTAGTTGATATCTTTCATCTGGCACCTGTAGTTCCAGTGTGGGAAGGCTTGAAAGTCCTTATCCTAGTAACGAATTCCTCTTACCTAGTGCCGCAGACCTACCATTGGGGTGTGAAGTCCTAAAGGTCCAATAGCCAACAGAAACCTAGGATAATGAACATTTGATACATTGACACAATGGAATTGTGCTCAACTGTAAAGAAAAATAAAACTATAAAAATTTCAGGATATGGATGGATCTAGAAAGAAGCAAGTGACTCAAACTTAGAAAACCAAAAATATATTTTCTCTTATGTGTAGATCTTAATTTGTTGTGTATACATATATGTGGTGTTTGTGAAGTGGAAAATTTTGGTTTCTATGGAAATTCAGTTGTATTATGTGATGTTTCTCTGTAAACTATCTTATGAAAGGATGTTTTTGCTGAAGCAGACATGTGGGAAGATGTTATGCTAAGAACAAACAGGTGGTGTTTTTTCTGGAGGCAGCCTGGGAAAGGGGCATGTGATGTTTTGCTAGAGAGGCTGCTTGAGAGAACACATGATGTTTGGAAAGAATATAAATATAGTCTAAAGGACAGTGGATGACACTGGATGGTATTGGTACACCTTGCCATTCTTTGTTGGTCATCATTTGTCATGACAAAGAACTTCTTGTGGTCTTTGAGCAGCTTCTTGCTGCTTCCACAGACTCCAGCCAATTGGCAGAGCCTTTCAGTTTCTTCTGGATCAACCTGCTGTTGCTGACTCATGAATGGTGTTTGTGAGTGGGTGGAGCTGCAGCTGCAGATTCATGTGAACTGAATGGCTGATATCCTGACAATGTAGATTGGAATTGCCCTAAAGAACTGTTCCTAAAAAGGTCCACATCCTCCTTTGCTGTATTAACCTTTCCTTTCTACTACCTCTGGTGGGTGATAGGCTAGAAGGGAGGAGATCAAGAGAGGGAAATATATAGCTGATGAATAAAAATGGCAAAAGAACCCATGGAATACAAAAGAAGAGAAATGGGGGTGGAGTTACAAGAAGGGATTGGGAAGCAAGGGTTTTAAAGAGATGAGGGGGAAGGAAAATCTACTAAAACCAGCTATTCGAAATGTCCTAATGATACTACCTAATATTTTGCATGCTAAATCTTAAAATACATATTTTAAGGAGTATAGATTTTATGTTAACTATTCTTGTCTCATTTTTAAATAAAATACCAACACCTAGTACTACTCATGTGATAACTTCTGTTTAGCTGAAATAGATTGAGATTAATAAGCTATAAAAGTGAACATATTGTGTCCTTTTCAACATAATTACATGTGTGAGGAGATTTATGGCTTGGAGCAGCTCTACAATGTGCACTACCATTCTTTACATGTGTGCTTCCTAACTAAGTTACGACTCAAGAGTTTAAACACAAGAAGAGCAGGATTCTGATAGTTCTGAGTCCTAGTTTTCCCATTATCATCCATGAGTAGAAATGAAGGCTGAGCAGTGTGTATGTGACAGACTTTGACAACAGTGACAGAGTGTTTGAGCAAAATAACTCACAAGACAGGAGATTTATTTATATTCCCATAATTACAGCAGTTTTGATCTGTTATTGGAGAAGGCTGCAAGATGAAGCACCTCATGACAATCACAACCACGGGCTACTTCCTCCTTTCCTTTTATTTCTTTTGGGACTCTACCCTGCAGGATGCTGTCAGTTGACTCAAGTCAAGTTGTTCTCCATGGTTTCTCCTCTTTGAAAATGACCATAAGACTCACAATGAGGTGCACTTTATAATTTCCTGGGTTTCTATGGAGAGTGAATGAAGTCCTGAGTTTGACATGGGTGCAACAATACAAAGGACCCTGATGTCTCGGACCCTGGGAAGTAGGAAAGCCTTCTCTGTGTGAGGCTCAGAAGGAAGGCAAAGTCTTACTTTGGTCAAAGTACGAATGTTTATCAATGACTGACCAGTGTATACAGAAGCTATCACCACAGCTTCCTCCTCTAGGATGTTTACAGCCTGAGGCTGCCCCTCTGCAGAGACCTCTTAGTGACACTAGCTAAGCCTGCTCCCTTGCCCCAGAGGAAGAAAGAGACAAAAACAGGAGATAGAGTGCTAGGGAGAAGAGGAAGGGAACAAGGGAGAGGGGGAAGGGATATGTGTCCCAGAGGACCAAAGTACTGTCTGTAGATAGAGCGGATACAGCCATGGCCCATAGATTAGTGGCAGTTTTTAAAGGTTCAAACCCTGTGTTAGGATGAAGTGTTTAACTTCATTTGAACATGTGAATTAGGGAGCTTTTGATTTCTGGTCTTAAATACTTTGATAGCTAGACCACTACAGCCTCAAGAGAAGACTGTCACCAATAAGGGAATAGACCTTACTGGTTAGCTTTAGGAATGTAACCTAATGGTTTTTAGTAAGGTAGAATGAATAGAGAAGTGGCAAAGCCTGTGAGAGCCATGTTTGCCTTGCTTTTGCCTACTAGAGTCCCTACACTGAGCTTCTGAGTTGGTGTTACAGTTGGTGCCCGTCATCAGTGAGAGCACAGCCCACCTGATCCTAGATTTTCTGTAGGCGCCTGTCCTTTCTTCATCCTTCATCTTCCTGATTAGGTTTGTCCTTGAAGCTGTTCAGAGTGGAGTTTCTCTTTATCGACTCCAGTTAAGAAACAAGATCAGCTACCACATTATGCACATCACGATGGCCTTCAAGAACAGTGCAAGCCATAGCTATATTAAGGGTTTTTTTTAATTATTAAATCTCATTAGGAAAAAAACAAAGGTCCAGACAATGTTGTAACTGGTGATTTAGTTGTAAATAGAGCAGTTTTGAGAACATGACAGTATAAAAGAAACATTCTTGGTTCCCCCCCCCCCCAACTGTAACAGGTTTCTTCCACAGGGAACATGATATGATTTATTAATGTGCTTTTATTTTCTCTTGTGTCATTTCTGATATCATGATGCTGTGCTCCCATTCATGCATGTAAATGCATTTATGCATATATCCATATACACATTCATTCCTCATAAAACATAATACTAAGAAAGTGCTTTATAGCTGAAAGTTCATGCCATTCTTTAGAGGAATGAGTTCAGTCTTTTCATTCTTCTTTTGTTATATTCATTACTTCTTTATACATTCTGGGTTTTTCTGGATCTACTGTATTATTAGATTATTATGACTTTTGGATACCCCTCCTTCTCCTCTTCCTTCATATCTATTTAACTCTTGTCTGTTTCATAGATATAGTCTCTCATTTCAGCCCTTGAAACATTCTAGATTGTTTTAGTACATTATTATCTACATTAAAGTCATCAGATTGCTGTAAAAAAGAGTGGTCCCCGAGACTGATATACATCTGGTTTTTCACTTTGAATCATGTGAGTCCTTCCAGGTTATCCTATAGTTATCCATCAGAAGTCACTAATTCTTCATTAACCTATCCACAAAGAACTGCTGGACCAAATTCTAGATAACTATAAGAGAAGGAAAAGAAGCCAGGTGTGATGACACACCTCTGTAACCTAAGCATTAGGCACATGGAAGCAGGAAGACCAGGGTTCAAAGCCAGCCTGAGATACTTGAGATCTTGTCTCAAGATAAAAGAAACAGCAGGTGGAGGAGGAGGAAGAGAAAGACAAAGAGATTTAAAAAATAAAAGAAACGGTATGCTTATTGGTTTTCCTTCTTGGTGTAACAGGCTTATAAGAATGTACCCAGATCACAAATGCCCTCCTTTGTGCCCTGCTAAGGCTCATTTCCAGGGGAAGTCCAAATAGTCAATTTATGTCCCGGAGTATCCACTAAAGGGAATCAATGTCAGCCTGATCAGGATCCCCTGGAGACTCAAACTCTGGGTTGCTGTTGTTGTTGTTATTATTATTATTTCATCCTTCTCCATCTCTTTATTCACACAATCCACACTTATCATATTGCCTGCCAGAAAAACAGCTTATGAGATATTCTTTCTCAAAATCTATGACATCAAAACTCAGGCTTTAGTTCTTATGAGCTTATCTACCTCTAAGATATGCTCTAAGAAATAGTGACCTATTATTAGCATAACTGATTTTGTATGCTTTTTAAAGATACAAACATTAATTAAGGCTTGAAATTTAAACCTTTCTTTTTTGAAACAAGGTCTTGGTGTAGCTCTCAGTAGCCTCGACCTCTTCTCTGTGTAGATCAGGCAGGCCTTAAACTCTCTGAGTTCAGGGTTAAACGTGTTCACCGCCACATTCAGCTGAAATTCAAACACTGTTTTGTGGCCAGTAACTTATTTCTAACATTTGCTCAAAAAGACTTCTAAAACTGAATCATCTCAATGATTCAATTCCAACAACCGCAATAACATACTTACCGTATCTCCCCTTAACAAAGAGAATGTAGCCATTTTTATTGTGTGGATGATCTTAACAGAAAAATTCCTATTTGATTGTAAGTAGGACTAGATAGGAGGAGATAGGAAAAGATAGAAGGATCCTAAGACCCTTGACAGTGTAAATGGCTCTTCACGGTGGTCAAGATTAGTAATTAACTCTTCAATAAGCGTTCTACAGCATACAAATGTAGAAAGGACAAAACAGTCCATGCTGTGGCTCACACGAATGATAAGATGTATGTTTTCCAGCAAACACAAAGCAGAAAAGGCCACAGCAAAAAAAAAAAAGAAAAAAAATTCAATTTAGTTGCATCTTAGAAATTACCTAATCCTGTGACTTTGAACAGATCATTAACTGTTCCAAATACCATCTGTGAAGTCAGAACTATAATATAGCCCATGTCAGAGTAATGTCCTCAGGAGATGGCAGGATTACCTTTTGGGTGAATCATCATTAACACAAATAGAACCAAAAACAGTGAGATTCTAATGGGTATTTTAGCTCAGTTAGCTATATCTGAAGGAGCTGGAACTCAGGAGGGAATCATTTAGTATATGGGGGTAAGTGGATGTGAGTGGGAAAAGCATCTGTGTAGGTGGAATTTGTGTATAATACATTAATTATTCTTCAGTGCTTTGCCTCAAGACTGCCTACTTTCTTTGAAATAAGTCTTTGGGCTCTCTTCAAAGTAAGTTCACATTCCCCAAACTGGTCACATGGTTGGAACCTACAGCACTAAGTGGAATCCCCTAAACATACCATCCTGAGAGT